TTGATCAATTGTCCGCATTCATTGATCTGCTCTGGAACAGGCCGAGCTACGAAACAGCTATCATCATTCCTTCCACTCCCACTCGCGTTCTTCTGCATCTGTGACCCTCCGTTGGTCACCATTAAACACATTCCCGTGAACTGTGACCTATCCTCTTTCGCAACAAATGCCCTTCCATGTGTGGGCTTGCGAACCTCTTCGTCCTCTAAGTCTGTTGACCAAACTTCTACTCCACCAAACTGATTATCAACAAAATTTTCCTGCACAATTAAAACAGGCATAGATTTATCATTAGCTTTCTTCTTCTTGATCTCCTCTAGCTTTCGCAGGTGATAGGTCTCGTCATCCTCTCCTTCCTTTTTCTTATTCATCCTTTGCAGCATGCACTCCTTGGCTAGATGATTTTTGCCATGACAATAGTTGCAGTCATAGCCTGAGTCACCAGCAAGCTTTTTCTCCTATTTTTCTTCTTCCTTCTGAGAACCACTTTTGTTCTCCTATTTCACCTTTTCTGAGCAATATATTCCCTGCCAGTTTCTGTTTTTGTTTGAGGGAAACTTTTTCTTTGCGAATCGCTTAGGTTTTGACACCATCAAATCAAAATCTTCATTTGAGAGCTCGTATTCAGAGTGATCCGAATCAGACCCATCATCAGCAATAGTTTTGCCCTTCGCGACAAGAGCCAAAGATCCGATCCCATACACCACTTTCGCTTCCTTTGACACCTCATTCTCTTGCGCCTTTAGAATACCCACCAGCTTCGCAAGAGTGTATCTCTTGAACTATTCGTGTGCTTTAACAGTAGATACCACCGCCTTCTACTCTGATCGCAGTCCATTCATGAACGTGATTTTTTTTTTCAATCAGTTCTCTTCCAATTCCCTGCTTTATCATCTTACTCAAAAGATGATTGTAACGATTAAAAGTGGAGGTGAGACTTTCTTCAGGCTTCTACACGAATTATCCAAATTCTGAGAGCAAAAGCGTTTGTGTTGAATGCTCCAGATCTGCATATGTAGAATAAAGCTCCTTCAACCTATCCCAGATGTCCTTCGTTGTATCACATGAACTGACGAGACGAAAAGTATGTTCTTGCAAAGCGAATCTGATGATTCTCGTTGCTTTAACATTACACATAAGTTTATCTTTCTCGTCTTGAGGTACATCCTTCATGTCAAGAAGTAGTTGGTTGTACTCTTTCTGAGTTTTGATGGTTCTTTTGGTCCCTATGTGAACAAACGGACCTAGAGTGATTGCTTCCCAAATCAGATAACCATTTTCGTCTGAGCCTAGAACATAGTGCTGCATGGTGAAAACATTTTGATACATGTAAAGAATCAGATGTGTAAACTGAGATTGTTTATAGGGTAATATAAAGATCACTTTAAGCCGTCAAAACAACAATGAAGACGACTAAGTTAGAGCCTATATTAACGGAAACTGTAAAATTCTGCAAACAGAAGAGATGCGTATAGATTACACAGTCTCCTGCTCTTATACCAATTGTTAGGATGAAAATACTTGTAGATCGAAAAGATTCAAACAGATATAACAAGAACACAATATTGATCAAACAAGTGCTGAATGATTAAATGTCACGCCTCAGAAGAACTCGATGAAGAATTACTACTATAGAGGCGTGATTAGGGTTGCAAAAGATAATATCAGACTTAACTAAAATACGATGCATGCATGCACCTTATATACTCTAACCCTAGGAATTAATACGAGTGGACATGCCCAACTCGTTTATACAAACAGACTAATCTAAGAAACCCAATGATGCAATACTAAATACTCAACAAATACCAATTGTTTGAACAATCACGAATAGATCGATAGATTCTAAACTAGAATATGAATCAACACAATGAAAACAATGATCGAAGTTGTGCTTAATGATTAAAATCCAATGCCTTAGAAGAGCTCAATAAAGAACTTCTCTATAATGGCACCGTAGGGAATCACAAAACGTTAATTCTAATACAATACATGCATGCAATATTTATAGCCTAACCCTAACACCATAATGATGGATGGATAGGCCCAGTCCGTTTAATAAAGGCTAATTACATACAAAGTAAATTTGAGACAATTTGAGACAACACAATAAATAACCCAAAAATGATCAAGGAGGATTCCACAAATGACATGATGCACAACCATGACAGAGTATACGCCATTGTGATCTTAATACGCCATCTGAGCATCATTCTATGACATGATGGCTTATGATGCTCCATATTTTTGCTCAATGTTATGCAATGTCTCTTATGTTTGAAGGTTGTAGAAGCAACTACATGCCATAATATGATTGTTTGACACCTTTCATGGGCCTATCGACTGATGTGTTTGGCCCATTAAGGTTTTACATATGATTCGTTGTCTATAAATATGTATGTTGCTACTCATTTGTAAGTAAGTATGGAATTCTAGTGAGTAGGAGAATCTTTGTGAAATTGTACCTATATCCTCTATTTGAGAACACGTGGATAAGAATGTTCCCCTCCTTACCCATGGACGTAGGTCACCTTGACTGAACCACGTAAACATCCTACCTTTTTGTGTGTTTGTGTGAGGTTTCATGTAAAGTGGAATCAAATATGTTCTGATTATTGACAAATGACATCTTATTCATTGCTAGTGGTTGATGCGCCATTAGGAGGCTTAATGTGCCATTGTAGCTCTTGATGTGCCACTCAAGCTGTGAGGTATGCTAGGATGATCAAGGTAGTCTAAGGATGCTCGGAAGTTTAATATGCTCAATGAGGATGACCCTAATCGCATGATGTGTCATGTTGATCTTGATAAACCATTTGAGCATTCATGTGATGTCTCTCAAGTTTGACAGTTCTAGAAGCAGCTGCATGGCAGATTGTGATTAGTTGACAAAATTCATGGGCCTATGGATTGATGGGTTTGGTCAATTAGGGTTTTAGGTTTGATCCTTATTTTATAAATAGGGATGCTATTAGTCAACTATATGTGGGTCCGAAATTCTAGTGATTCAGTGAAGCTGTGTGAAATTGTACATGTAACCTCTGTTTGAGAACTCATGAATAAGAATACTCCCTCCTGCCCATGGACATAGGTCACCTTGATCGAATCACGTAAATATTGTGTCTTTGTGTGTGTGGTTTGTGTGTTATCCGCTTTACTTCCTATTAAGTGGTATCAAAGCTTAGTAAGTGGTATCAGGTGTATTTCGATTCTTGACAAGTGACGTCCGATTCATAATAGGTACTTAATATTTGGCAAGTGATATCATATATGTTATGATTCATGACAATTGACGTCCGTTTCATAATAGGTTCAATACAATCCCTAAATTAAATTAATCATTTAGTTACTTAATTAAAAGTTTTACAAGTATAAAAAGAGCAATTGTAAAAGCCTAAAGGTTTTTTTTGTTGGTTTGAGGTTTTCTGCCAACGTGAGTATATAAAACGATTTTTCATAATGGGTTTATATCGATATTTCAATTGATATTGAGTAAACAATCTTAATGTATGTAATTGAGCAATAAGTTGATGAAAATAAAGCTTAAAGAACTTATTTAATAAAAATACTATACTTATTAGACTAAATTAAAGTGATTACTTATAATATTATATAGAATTTGAAGATTTACCCAAAAGGCATTTGGCTTGGAGTTGATGGATAGATGTTCATCATCTAAAAACTAAAAATTAAGGGTTCAAGTTTTTTTTATGGGTGAAATATGTACATTTAGGAGTAGTGTAGTGAGTTCATGTCTAAACCATTCTATTTTTTTAAAAGATTAGGAAGTTTCATTATAAATACGATGCAAATTTAAAAAAAAACATTATAAAATAAGAACAATATTTTAAATAAACTTTTTATATTTTGATCATAATATGTTAGTTATTTTCACAACCTATACCGAAGCTCCCTTAGTGCTTATTATTAAAATTTAAAAATTAAATTATTGATTTACCAACTAAGATTATATGTAAAATTCATATTTGGACACAACCAATAAATTGTCATTAATTGAAAATTAAATGTAAAAGCTATATTTGAATATTTTTCCTGCTAATTCAATAAATTACCAAAGAAAACCATAGCTCCTCCCCATAGTACACTTTATCAAAATTTAAAAATTATCATAAACAAATATTTTATGAAAAATCTTTGTATTCTATAAATTATTGATTTACCAACTAAAATTATATGTAAAATTCATATTTGGATGTAACTAATAATTTCTTTTAATTAAAAATTAAGTGTAAAATCTATATTTCAAATTGAACAATAAATTACCTAGAGAAATTAAATATTCTCCTACATTTTATTCTTATTTTTCTTTTGTTCCTATTTTTCTCTCTGCTTATTTAAAATGATGAGAAGTTTACAAATTTAACAATCCAATAAAATTTAAATTAAATTAAATGACACTCCCCACCGTCTTAAGTAGGTAGGAAAATAGTATGAACACAAAATAAGAGGATATTTAATTTCTATTACCAAAGAGAACCAAAACTCCCTGTAGTACTTGTTATCAAAATCTAAAATTTACCATAAACAAATATGTTATTAAAAATATTTTATTCTATAAGTTATTGATTTGCCAACTAAGATTATATGTAATATTCATATTTGGAGATAACCAATAAGTTGTCGTTAATTGAAAATTAAATGTAAAATCTATATTTCAAAATGAACAATAAATTACCAAATAGAACCAAAGCTCCTGGAATACTTGTTATCAAAATTTAAAAATTACAATAAACAAATATCTTATAAAAATACAATAAATTATTGATTTACCATCTAAAATTATGTAAAATTCATATTTGGATATAACCAATAAATTGTCATTAATTGAAAATTAAATATAAAATCTATATTTCAAAATCAACTATAAATTACCATTAATTGAAAATCTTTCAAGATTGTCACATTGATATTTATAAACTCAATTAATTAGTCTTTGAAGTTCACAACATAAATCCATTTCGAAGAAAATTCGGAAAAAAATGATGAATACTTCCTCCAAAATCCTCTTTTTCATTATATTGGTGTTCACTACCGGTTATTCTCTCCCTCTTTCTCTTCAACTATTTTGAGGTTTATTATATTATCCATATGTTGCATAAACCTTCGACGAATGCATAATAATATATATGCTTTTTGTGTTACTGCAGCTTCAGGAGTTCAATTTGATAAATCGAAGAAAAATAATGTAATAGATAGCAGAAACCAACTTCTAAACGCTATTTCTGACAAAACTGAGATAAACATATGTGCAGTAGATGCAGATTGTGATGGCTGGGATTGCCCACCTGACAGGATGCCTGCTTGTTATAATTTCCTTTGTGTATGTCGTCTTTTATAGAATAATATAATGCCTGATGAGAATCATAATAAAGTATTGATTCCGTGAATTGATGTTTAAATCATTTTAAGAGTGTTTCAAAATGTTGATTAGTTATGTTCATCTTTCAATTGCTTAATAAAATGGCAAAAGATCATCGTTTTCTATATAAATCAGTTTACTTCTATAATGACATTCTGAACCTAATTTTGAAAATAGATTTGTTGAAATGATAACATCATTAATTTTGAGCGATAACAAAACTAAAAATAAATACACTACAACAAATAGGACGCCATTTGTCAATAATTTATGTTGCTATAGCCATCGAGCAAACATGTTGTCACCATATATGTTAACAATAAACCTTCATCGCTATAGTTTCTTCTTTTTGTCGGGCTTGATGTCATAGTATGTATGGACTTCAACAACATGCCATCAACATAATTAAGTGTCATTGTAAAAGTTATGTTTTCCTTAAAAAGTGTTAAACAAAAGTTATGATGTTTTTTTTGCAAGTAATTTTGGCTATGACAGGTCATAGTGCTAGATTATATTTTGAGTGGCAGTTTCACGACGACATATCATCAAGCATGTACAAATAAAAAAAATTTATTACTCGACTACCAAAGGTTGTTACACTGTTAAGTTTCGGTTCAACATCTCGTTTATTAGGATAGATTTTTTTTCTTGAGCCATATATATTTTAAACTCTTACAACTCTGTAAATATTTTTTTTATCAATGTTAGTTAATTGGTTCATCAATATGGGATAATACATAGAAAATGAAACTTTCTAACTAAATTTTGATCTTCTATAACTTTTGATGGAGAGAGATGGGTTTGAAATGCTAAATCTTAAGTAGACAACACCTATAGTATTTTTGGATATCCGAAAGTCATTAGAATTAAAACTCTTCATAATTCATGTAAAATCCCATTCTTTTTAAAAGTATTTACAAACTATGTTTATAAACCTTACATGATTTATAGTAATGTATCATAAGTTAGTTTTAGCAAAAGCATCAAAAGTATTATAAGAGTTTCTTGTTGTTCCCAAAAAATATCATAACCATAGTTAAGAAAAAGGATATAGAAAAGTCCATGGTTACGTTAGGTCTTCCAAAAGTTCACTTCTAACTCTATCCTTCTGCTCCTTTGCTACTGGCCTAATAAAGTCTTATGAGATACATTGTTTTAAACACAATAATATAGTAGCATATAATAAGTTTTAACATGACTCACAATTCAGTGCAATGAAAACAATAATTCAAGCAAGATAATAATTATATTCAATAATAACCCTACGGTTTTCCTTGTATCTAGTGTTAGTGATTACGTTTTTGGACAAAACCCTTTAGGGTTTAGATTATGTCACTTATGTATCCTTATTTATATGAGGTTTAACCCTGAATCTATATCAATCAATCTATTATATCACATGATAACAGAGCTCTAGGTGAAAACCCTATTGCTGACCATAATTCGCAACCGCCTCCCTCCACCTCCGGTGACCTTCTCTAGTAGCCTTCAGAGGTGTCTTCCCTGTCCATTTTTCCCTTCTTAAATCTCTTCTCCTCTTTGAAAGTTCTTTATGCCAAAAAATCATTATAGAATGATATTGCTAATAACATATAATCCTATACGGTCAAACCTTATAGCAAGTTACTACTAATTGATTATGTATTATAATAATTTGATTATTATTAAATATAATTAACACCTGTATTTAATTAGAAAATCATTATTTTATGAAAATAATATTTTACCAACATATTGGGAATTATTGTTTTTAGAAAATAATAATAAAAGAGAACAAAACTAGGTTAATATCATATGGTATGAATATTAATGTTGTGTACAACATTTTTGTCACTCTGAGTAACCATCAAGTTGCCATCAAACTAGCTAGTTATGGATACTGTAATTAGCAATTCAATCTTGTCCCCTTTCTCGTGATGGTTCTAGGATTGCTTTTGTATTGTGTATTACTTCACTCATGCATGTAAGAAATACTTGTTACCTTTATGTTTTCTTGTCTTGACTTTATATATACTTGGATGCATAAAAGAAATAGTATTACAAGCATGAAGAGTTAGTTCTTTTAGAAAGGGTATTACAAGTGAACACTAGCATCTTGAAGTGGTTTTCTCTTGCTTGGTGGATACTTCTAGAGAAGCTTTATTTTGAGTTGCTTTCCATCTTCATCAACTTCCTAATGGGAAAAAGGAACCAAAGTCTTCAAAGGTTGTAAACTCTTTCCGTTCTATGGCTGTTTTACTCTTCCTAATTACGTCGAATTTGTCACTATAATTAAAATATTTTTGAATAAAAACTCAACACTTTTACTCCTCCTAAGAAAACCACTCTCAAACAACCGTCATTGCATATTGTTCTAACCGCTAAAACAGTCGCCACCGCCGCTGCCTCAAGATCAAGCCACCACCGGCGCTTGCAGATCCAGTCATTTCCGTCTCAACCACCGATGTGTCCGGATCTTGATCTCCGCCAGCCTACCTCTTCTACTTTTTATTGTCATATACGTGTAATGTGTTATGCTTTATGTTTTTTGTTTCTCCAGTTTAATCGTTCCCAACCCGATTAAGCTGCAGGGGATGTTAGTGATTAGGGTTTAGGCATAAGTTCTATAAGGTTAGGCTTTAGATTAGGTCACTTTTGTATCCTTATTTATATGAGGTTTAACCCTCACTATTTATCAATCAGTCTATTATCTTACACCTTGCTCCGTATAGAAATGTAGTATTTAATTCATAGACCTATATAAAAATCTTACGGGTTACCCCGATTCTTTCTTACCAAATGGGATGAACAAATGTCATTCCTCATGGAATCTTGGTTGAACATCTGCTTTGGGCTTGGAGTACCATCCCTATTGAATCTTGTAATTCAACTAGCCGGGACATTGGAAAACTATGAACGCATTCATGTTATAAAAACTCAAAGCTTAATCAATAAAAAATTGACCAAACTCAATTAGAGTGCTATATACTTTCAAAACATTACTCATGGAAATGCATTATAACAATCTCAATAGAAGATCAAAACAATGTTTAATCATCAAAACAAGTTTTTAAGTAAATATAGCTATAAGAATATTGTTGCTATGTACCTATTTAAAAATCTACATGTACTCACCTCCAGTAGTTGTAAAGTTTATCTAGCTTCCATAATATCTTTGTCCATCACTTACCTTTTCTCCTTCAACACATACCGAATTATTCCATTCATACATGTCATTTAATTTACTAGAGTTATATATATGTGAAAGTGTTTCCATTTCTATGTCTCTATAGGCCAATTTGAAAACTATTCCATGATATGACATGTTTTATTCCTAAATAATGAGCCAACTATACAATCTTGAGAATTTGTTAAATGACTAATTTGAGAATTTGTTAAATGAATCTTCATATAATTTTATCATACTTTTATTGATATAACACATTGGTCATAGTTATAGTCATTTCCATAACATTTTTAAGTTAGGCCCCATTACAATTATCAACTTTAAATTCATATCATATTAATGATAATCATTACTTCAATACTCATCTATAACTTCTAGAAGCTCATTCTTTATAGTTATGTGAATTCTCCAAATTGTTACAATGCATGAATCATTGGATCACCATAAGCCAATGCCACATGATCGCATACATGAGTTTTGTATGGAAGATCACATACATGATCGTATGATCGGCATCGAGATCGTAAAATCGGGATCCGATCCGAACTTACCCCTCCATGAAAATTGTCAAATTTTAATCCAGGTTTTATTGTCTTTACTAATTTACTGCATAACAAGGTCTCCCTACCCAAAGGTCAGTCAAGAATATACATATTCTTGTACTGCTTTGTAAATAGTAAATGATCAAAAACCCCAACTAGAATTCTTCTCTTTTAATGTTTTACTATCATCGATGGTAGAAATTTAGATTTAGCTTCAGATTGTTATTAATGTTTTAAAGCATGTCATATTAAAGATTTAATAATATGAAGGTTGCGAGTTGCTACTAGTGTATGATAAATGATCAATCTTATTACTCTTTTAAGCTATTTAACAATGTTATTAACTACTACATGATCATTTACATTTTTGAGATATTTAACCATGAAATATGGGCAAAAAAGTTTTATATACGATCAATTACCTTTTTATGTCAGTTTTTGAGAGATATTAGGATCTCAATCCCGATCTTACGATCATGATCTTGTAAACATGAAAAATGATCCTATGTAGGATCTTGATCTTGAAAACCTTGGCTTATGATACCGAAGATGGATTTAGATCAATGGACAATGCAATATCTGATTATGAACTATCAAAAACTAGTACGTAAGGATCATCAAGAAGACTCTTCTACCTGGCCCTTTCTACATCTATATATCCACCTGTTTGTAAAACAATAAAGAGTTATTGCATTAATAATGTATGTATTCCTAATCTCATTTCAAATTACATATTATTATTTAATGCACTGTGATGTTGTGTCATCTAGATTTATGAAAGTTAGGATGTTATTTTCCAACTGATCTTGGTGATTGGACTCAAGTTGTTTTCGAGGAGCCTTTTGGAAAGGATTTGGAATCTTTTGAAAAACTCAGTGCCTGCCCACATTGGAGAACTGTTTGAAGAACCACAAATCTGTCGTATTGATCATTATTTGGAAAAAAATTTGTACAAAACTTGGTAATGGCGACATGAAACTACCCAACTTTTCTTTTTTAATCTCCTCAAATATTCATTCTACTTAAACTTTTCTTTTAATTAATAAAATTGTCGATGGCACTTTGATTTGCAAATCAATTCTTCTTGCCACTATGAATCACGACAACATTTCTAATATTCAGGTGAGATAATCTTTTAACCCATTCTTAATATGGAAATTTTTCCCAATGATATGAAATCAGAAGTTTAGTTTCATTCATTAGATTCATTTTGATTTTAACTTTCTGATGGAAATTTTCTTTTGGAATGTGTTTAGAGAGGATTTTGGAACCGAAGGTCGTGTTGGATATTTCGATCAACATGGATAATTTTTATTATTTTTATAGTAATATTACAATGCACACATTGAACAAATTAATTTTCTCCTGATGACCCTTGAAAATTTTAAATTCTTTGTGGTCTTCTTTGGCACTATTATCATAGGCATCATTCAGAATTATCTACTAATTTATTCTTAAGATGTTTCAAATTAAGTTCAAAGCATAAACTTCTATAATTGTTTCCCCATAAAAAATGTAAAAAGATATTTGTTTGCAATGCACGTGCTTCGCCTAGTTGCTATAGAGAAACCAATTTCTTTTTTTTTAGAACTACATAATATAAAAGAAACAAGCCTTAGGGACTAGCAAGAAACTAGCCTAAGACAACAAAATTACAAAAACATAGGTTGGTGGAGCCATAAGTTCCAATCTCTAACACCTTTTCTCTTTCTAGAGAAACCTTTTTCTTTAAAGCCTAAGCATGTTTGTGATGAGTAAGTGAAGGTGTATATTTTTTGTTGTTTCGTTAAAATTTATATTTGTTTTCTTTACTAATATTCCTCACCACTGTTTCACATGGCTACTACACCTATAATGATCATTGAGATTTGGGGCCCCATATGTTATGCATGCATGTATTGGACTAGAATTGATGTAAATGGGATAAAAATTGAAATCTTTACAAAATTGGATAGGTACTCTATCATGATCTCTCGTTTATGCAAAAGATGTAAATTCCCTCCAAATCCTCATCATAGAAAAAAGAGTACAAAGCTTTCTATGACATATACTATAATTTTTTGATGTAGGTGAAGCTACATGGCTTGTGATGAACATGGTTTAGGGTGAATTAGACTTGTCTTACACGCAACGATATCAAAACACCATAATTCCAGAAGCTTATGAACATTTGATTCTTGTATGAATATAATCAATTTTCTATGACATAAATTATTGATTGACCTAAAATATTCAATATTTATTCAAATAATAAAGATAGAAAGCTATAAATTATTTTTAGAAGCCCAACAAATTTGGTGTTTGGTTCATAAGTAGTGATCAACAACATTTTATTTGTAGAGACGAGCTAAAGGTATGCTTGCATAAACTAATCAACTTATCATATGAGAATTTAAACTTGCGTTAAACGCAAAAATAGTAACATACTTTCAAGTTGTATATTATATAGCATCTTACTTTCATTTTAATTCCAACCAAAAACCATAATTGTTTTACAAATATAGTTTCCAAAAGTAATAATTATGAATCAGAGTATCGTAAAATCAAATATCATGAAAATCAGAAAGATGTGTACGTCCACACCTTTGCTTTTCCCTGATCATCTGAAGTACCTGAAACATAGAACTTAAACTGTAAGCCAAAATCTTAGTGAGTTCCCCCAAAGTACCCCCACACAACCAATACACATAAGAACATGTATATATGAGCCTTCAGCTTAACAGGACAACCTCGCAGGGCCTATAGCCGATTTGGACCGCTCTTCGCGTCTTCGGTCTGACTGGACTGTTGGATTAATGTCTAAGTCCATAACTATATTTGGTATGTACTTGACCCGACCCGGCATGGTCCATTTGGGTTGCACTTCACCGGCACAATTTATATGGATAGTCTTTTGAGAATAGTATATTTATGATTTATATTAATATATTATAAGTTCTAATATATTAATATGGAATCATATTATTTAATTAGTATTGATCAAGAATTAATTTAGAATTAATTAAGTGATCAAAAAGAACTAATTAAATATGGACTCTTATATATATGGAATGGGCAAAGTTCATTTAGGTTGGGCTAAGCTTTCATGGATGGTCCATGGAGCTTTTAACCCATGGATCCTATGTAAATGAAAGGTCATGGGTATTAGTGTTTACATGGATGTAACCCTAATCCTCCATAATATATAAAGGGGTCCTTGGCTCACAAAATTGGCACAAGTGTGTGAAAATAAGAGTGGGCCGATTTTAGTGTGCATACATATTCTCTCAAGTTCTTCCAAGGTGTTTTGGTGATTTGTGATTCCATTTGAGGCTTCCACACTATTGGGGCTAAGCTCTTAAAGCTTGAAGACATCAAGCTACATCAAAAGGTATGTCATCTAACTAGAACTTTGTAGTATAGGTGCTTCATAATATGCTAGTTAGGATGAAACCTTGGAATAGTTAATATTTGCATGTATAATAGAGAAAACATAGATCCAAGGTTTATAGGGTTTCATGTACACCATAGGAGTGTTAGAATGCTCAAAAACCCAACAGTGGTATCAGAGTCATGAGTTGTTTTCTGTTATATTGATGCAAATGTTTTATTTTCAAGTTGGAAAAAAAATGAAAAAAAAATATGAAGTTTGTCAAAATTTAAGATAATTATTTGTTTTGTGAAAATCGAATTATTTGTAAAATTTGAATCATTTGTTATATGAGTTGAATTAGGTCAAATTTTGTAAAAGATAAAATGATATGATTATTTTA